GAGGTCTTGCTCTTGCTCAGGCTGGTTTCGAACTCCTGAGCTCAAACAATCCGCCCGCCTCGGCCTCCCAGAGAGCTAGGATTACAGGTGTGAGCCACTGCGCCCGGCCTCCTAGAGCATTCTTGATATTAGGTTTTCAATAAAAGTTATTTTTTCTTTCATAAATGCTAGGTTTCTGAAAATTGTCTTTATGTGGATTGTGTGTTTGTGACAGTAGCATCTGTCTTCTGTCCTTGCCAGTGTCTTAGATTATTGTAAGAGAGCAGTCTTGCTAGCGTCTCATTTTGGCCTTTCCTGACCCCTTCACAGCATGGGAAATATAAATTAGAAGAGGGCAGTATAATCAATTAGAATGTTGGAGTTGGAAACAGAACTAAGTTAGCATCTGGATTATACCACTTAATTAACCAAATCACCAAAATATCTTTTCATCTCTGTGTTGGATATGATATTCCCAGCCTACTTGACTGTGATGTTTACAAAGATCAAATGAAATATGTGAGAGCACTTTGTGTAATTGTAAGATATCATAGATTTAAAGTATTATGTGTACAAAATGTTATTACGTAACTCTGCTTGTTTTTTTCTTGATTTTTCTCCCTCCTTCTGACCTGAATAGTTTCTCCTGAATTTTGCTTAATAAGTCACCCATTTCAAGCTAAACTAGGTATTTTTTTCCTGTACAATAGAATCCCCTTTGAATTTTCCTTTTGCTCAATATTGTCTATTCAATATTTAACAAACTATGGAAAGTTTAATTCACAATAGAATTTCATCAATAGGTCACTACCATGCACTTCAGTGCGGACATGCTTTTTGTGAACAGTGCTTGTTAATAACTGAAGAATACAGCACAATTATGTGCCCTGATTGTGAGGTAAGTTTTATAATTTTTCATACCAAACACATTAAAGCCTAATGTTAGAGGTAAAAATGTTAAAGAAGTAAAATAGTCTTTTGGTTAGAAACTTAAAAACTGGCATGTTTGCTGCTGAATCTTTAAGTAAAGAAGGATAACAATTTTATTTTCATCCATTTTATAATGGTTCAAAGTTATCAAGAAAAAAGCAGCTAAAGTCATACATTTATTGGCCTGCATATTTTGATTCCGTGGAGACCTCTGTGGAAATTACCTCTTTTTGTCTATTTTAATGGAATATAGTCCTTTCAAAACCCTAGCCCACCCCCGCCCCTTTTCCACACCAATACAAGCAAATTTTGAACTCTCCTGGCCCCTCAACCTTTGTGTGTCATAAGATTTACATTTCTAGAGATATCATACCATAAAAAGGCAGAGAGGCAGAACTACTGCCTAAAAGTGATATTTACTGAAGTGTTTCTGAAGAACCACTAAAAACAATTCCATTAGGACTAAAAATCTATTGATCTGTTAAGAATGAGAACAAATTAAGGATTTACAATAAAATTTACTTGACATCCTGTACATTTACTACAAATATAAATGTAGTTCAGTTTATACGGTATGTTCATGGAAAGTTGTTTTAATCTGTAAATTCTTAAGGTTCCACTGGAGAGATCAGATGACGGGGATCTGTATCAGTTGTTTTCTGTGGCAGACAATATGGAGGCTTGAGACCTAGAATGCAGTTCTTGTTCTGTCAGCCTAGCCTGGGTGTCCTCATTTGTGAGATGGATATAATACCTGCTTTGTCTTATAGGAATATAGAATCAAATCTGAAAGTTCTCTACATGCTTCCAGACTACTATAATAAAATAACCCTTCATTACTTAGGTGTGGATGGACTGATTTTCAAGTTAAATATGGTAAAAAAAAATACAGATATTATAATTTGTGAAAGTTTTAATTATAGCAAAAATATTTACATATGAGAAGGTATTTTGGAATTATATATGTTATAAGTTATGCCTTTTATTGAGGGAAATTCCTATCCCCTTTCCTTTTTTTTTGACATGGGGCTTCTCAGATGTGGCTGGCTACATGGTCAAGACAGAGGGAGCTCTCTTCCTGTGGTTATAATGGTAGATGCCTGACAGATTTGGTCTCCTGGGTGAGGAATATGTGCAGGGAAAGGGAGGGAGCAGGCAGCTGGAACTGTCTCTGCCCATTCCCATCCTGTTGTAATATTCAAAAACAAACACAAATATTTTAACAGTAACTTTTTGCCTTTTTTGGCAAGTGAGTTCATGTTAAATGGTCTTAAATCATACTTGTATCATTTTTAGGATTTTGATTGCTATTAATGGTTAATTCTATAATTTTGCACAGCAAAATGGC